CACCCAGGCGCCCCACAAGGGCTGATGTTTTTGAGAACTTTCTATGCACCAGATGTTGTACTAAGTGCTTTTTTACTCCCACGATCCTATCTCCCAACCACCCTGTGAAATCTAAGATGCTTATTCTTCCCCGCCTCACCGAGGGAAGCACAGAGAGGTTAATAATGCACCCAGGGACACACAGGTGGTAAAGCACAGAGCAGAGATTTGAACCTAGATCGGTAGCCGCCACCGTGGTGCGTGAGTACTCTGACTCAGTTTGCCAGCTGCCGAGGCTCTCCTGAGGCCGAACAAAGATGTATCTCCGTCCCCTGTCTCCCTGTCTGCCAGACTGTCGCGTTCCTACCCACTCTGAGAACTAGTTGAGGGGAGGAGGAGGCCGGGAAGTGAGGGAGGGTTCTTTTTTGTTCTGACCTAAGCCTTGCAAAATGTGCCGAGCTGAGCTGAGCTGGGCCAGGGCAGTAATGACCGGAAAGCTTTCAAAGCCTTTATTTCTCCCAATTGACGAAGCGGGATCTAACCCTGACCGAACGATGATGAATTACTGATCTGTGTGCCACGGACAAACAACCAAGAAAGTGTCAGTCCTTGTCCAAGAACTCTGAAAAGAAAAATGGACTTACCAGTGAAAGGGATCATTATGAAACAATGAAGCGGTAATAATTACTAGCATCTCGTGGCGCTTCCAGCTTTCCAGGCCCATCCATATGTATCTTAACGATAATATGATTTAAGACTCTTAACCAGGGTCTGTGAAAGGAGATTTAAAGCAAGCGCTTGTGTGATTGCACAGTATAGTGAATGTGCTAAATGCCACGGACGTGCCTGCTTGAAAATGGCTATGTGAATTTCACCCCCCCCCCAAAAAATGTTTTTAAAAATAGCAAAAATGGAAAGCAAGATAATTCTGAAAGTGTTTGCAACATCGTAATGGTTTTGTTGGATTTCTAGATCTGGTGATTTCTATTCTTCCCTTGATTTTGTGTTCTCCTCAATACTATTCCTAACAGTTAACATTCACTAATCTCCTAAAATGCAGTCAAAAAAAAAAAAAAAAAAAAAAAAGGAGAAGAAAGAGAAAGAAAAGAAAAAGAGAAAGAGTGCTTGCCTGGTAGGAGGTTTATAACAACGGTGGGCTCATTATCCAGACCCTGACTCCGGGACTTCGGGACTACACTCTATAGCCTAAATGTCATCAATTCCTTGGGGTGATGTCCAGGAAAACACAGTATTCCCATCTCAGAACATGAGTTTTTATTTAATGGCTTTTGGGTTGCAGATTCCTTCAAGTCTCTAAGGAACCCTGGAGGTAGTCCCCCCCAAAAAAGAATATTTTTATATATAGTTTCAGAGAATTTATTTCTATCCATAAAAGGCCCAGGCTAAGAGTCTGTTCTCCCAAGCTTAGATTAATTCTAAGGTTTAAGAAATCATGGTAACGATAATCAGAAAAATTGACAGAATCCATGGATGAGTCATGAAAGGGAATTTTAAGGGGAGAGGACATGATAATGAGTATACACACACAAAATACAAAAATTAAAGAAAATTAAGGGGTTTTTTGACTCTGCCTAAGAACATTTTAAAGAAGGTGTCTTGGTGTCTTTCTCGATGATGACGCATGCTCCTTCTGCAAAATACAGGAAAGCAAAACAGAACGGGAAGGGAAGCTTTCGTCCTCCCACACCCAGCAACCCTTAGTTACAGTGTGGAATCCCCCCCTTCGTGTTTTTCCACTAGGTGTTTTTTCCACAAACTACTTTTTAAAATGTATAACATTGCATTCTTAAAAATTCTAGTCTGTGGTAGAAATTTTCAGAAAGTTGTAATGCCTCCAGCTCAGACCCCAGTGACCTTTCAGGGTCACAGTCCTTACAAATCTGGGTTATTAGGTCAACCTAACCTCAGGTTATGTTCAAAATTAGAGCTTTTCTGTGGCTGAGTCTAACACCTCTTCTGTGGGATGGGAACATAGTCCATCCCCGTGGTTATTAATTAGCCTAAGCAGGAGGGAGGTTGTAATCAAAGTTCAATCAACTTACCTAAAAATTGGAAAGAAGATGTATTTGTAAATAGATTTCTTTAACTGCCTTAAATCCTTTTTGAAACGAAACTGAGAATAAGTGATTTTTAAAAATATATACATACATTTGAGTCTGCACATACTGAGTGCTGTCCCTTGATATGAAACCCGTGCAGAGCAGATAATGTGCAAATAAACTCTGGATTTCAGCGCCATCGTAACTGACTTCTTTGTTCCTTTCCCAGGCACTTCGGTGAGCGTCTCCACCTTTAATCTGGTGGCCATATCTCTGGAAAGATACGGTGCAATCTGCAAACCCTTACAGTCCCGGGTCTGGCAGACAAAATCCCATGCTTTGAAGGTGATCGCCACTACCTGGTGCCTCTCCTTTACCATCATGACTCCGTACCCAATTTATAGCAACCTGGTGCCTTTTACCAAAAATAACAACCAGACCGCAAACATGTGCCGCTTCCTACTGCCGAATGATATGATGCAGCAGTCCTGGTAAGGGGGTGTGGTGTTTATTTGTGTGACAACTCGTTAAAGCTCGCGGTTTTTATAAAAACTGGAATGTGTTGTCCAGGGTGGCTGGGGGATCAATTTCCTGGAGACCCGGAGAAGGATTATTCTAACTTCCTTTTAGGATGCTAGTGATACCAAACACCTAGCGTTCTGTTTTAAATGCCATGCATATATTAATTAATTCATCCTCTCAAAACCCTATAGGGTAGGTACTATTCTTGTCCCTGCGGGCATGGAGACATGGAGAGGTGAAGTGAGTCGTTCAAGGTCACAAAACTAGAAGATACAGAGCCTCTCTGCTTACCCGCTTTGCACAATGCCTCTGGATGGTCTGGGTGGGGGAAGAGGGGGCGGAGTTGGCTAGAGGATTGGGAGGGCTATGATTTTCTTTTCTTTTCTAAGTTTTTAATTTTAAACTTTTTAAATGTTTATTTATTTATTTTTGAGAGAGAATGTGCATGCGCTAGCGCAAGCCGGGAGGAACAGAGAGAGAGGGAGA